AAATACACCCCACATTTTACTGCCGCGGTGGAACGGCTGATGTGGGCGTTGTCATGGCTTGCCTCGACATTTGCGTTTGAATAGCGCGCGTCCTCCGTGGGCGTGTCACATTAACGCATAATGAAGTGTAATGAGCTGGGGAAAAAAATACTGAAATCACTCTCTTTTCATATAGATTACATAAACTGAGAATATTTGTTTTTTATATAAATTACTTCATTGAAAAGAAGAGAATTCAAGCTTCATAAAGAGCTTCATGTTGTGCCTGTATGACAAGTATTTGCGGAGTTATAGTTAATTTTAGGACGCGTTTCAGAATGGACTGCACTGACAGAGCAAAACTCGCATCATGTTTATTTTTCTTTATTTGACAAAAAGCACAACACTTTGTTTTTATTGTGAGTATACAGAAAAATAATAGACACTTAACAGGATCGAATGATGTATAACACTTATATTTAAGATCAAAATCAACAGAGTATTTTAAGTCTCTTTTGCACTGGGGTCGGCGCGATAGCCGACCCCAGGGGGTTAAACAAACTCCAAACTTGACAAGGACTCAGACAGGGAACAGGACTCAGGAACAGAACAACCAGCATCATCACCACTACAACATCAAGAACTCACAAGGACTGGACTGAAACACAGGGCTTAAATACAAGGGAAAACAAGCTAAACAAGATGACAAGGGGGCATGGTTAATCGGGGACACCAGGGAAGACTAATAGAGATAACGGGGAGCGGGAAACAGGACTAAACCAAAAACACAAAGAACGGGGAAACAGAGAATTCATAACAGTGGGCCTGTACTTTGGCATAGCCAACTTACATTTGTGTATTGTAAATATCTTTGATTTATTTGCTTTGGTATCCTAACAGAAGTTCTGAGTATTTAAATTTGTATTATTATTATTATTATTATATAATTTTTTATATTTCCTTTGGTTTTTTTTTTTTCCCAGTATCCAGCATTTGAGTTTGAAAAGTATCATATTTCATATTGATAGCTGAAAAGAATTATTAATTGCTTTGGTACTAAATTAATATCCGGTGGTGTAAAGCCCGGCTCAATCGATCCAATGACGGCATTCGATCAGTAGGTGAAGGTCTCTGTGTATTACTGTCTTTTCTGGTGGCAAAGTATTTTGATTAAATGCAATACATTTTTCATATGTATTCTCTCGTTATTTCATCTGACTCCATAAAATGAAAAGGTTTTTAATGATATCTGTGCATTATTAAATATTAGCGAAAGTGTGACTAATTCATTTTAACTCTAATGAAATAATATCAAAGTCAGTTATAATCATCAAATGTAACAATTTATTATGTCAGGTAAATTTATCATTCCAATTTCATAATCAGTTAAAGATAATCAATACAAAACATAAAATGCTCTGGAATAAAGAGAAGACGAACCCGACATTAGGAAATACGTGAAGCTGAGAGATCGGCCGCTCTCAGCCTCACGGGCTCATCTGAAGTACAGAAAAGGCCCTGATCTCTAGTTGCATTTCATTATATAGCCAGACCTCATTTCATATGTAAACATGAGTTCACAGTGGAAATTTACCTTGAACACTGTCCCAGACTTACTGGGGGTAGAAGTTGACCTTGTTGAACATGGTCAACGGTTGAACAGTGGGAATTTGCATTCAGGAATTTACACCTTTTGGGGGTAGGACCATGTCTAGAGACCACATTCCTTTGTGTGCCAGTTATCCCTAAACTCTTAAAGACCTTATTACCTTTAGTCCCTGAGAGAGAGAATGAAATGTAGATAAGGTGGACTTTCGTCTCAGGGGAAGAGGGGGGAAGTCAAATGTTTATTTCCAGCAAGGTCCTTTGTCTCATAGAGGTCAGGTCTATCTCTTCAACCAGTTTTTCCACAGTCTTACAGTGGCAACCACCAAAGATAGTCTGATCAGAACAATTAAGTGATGTCCGTTTAGGAGGAGTTAGATGCACACACCACTCCTTTCAAACTTGAACAGTATTTAATTAAGTGTGGTTCTAGAAAGAGAAACAACAATAAATAAGTATAAATATACACAGTGATAAAGCATCAATATAATAATGAACACAATCTGCATTTCTTATGACATTAACATCAGAAATATGTCTTTACAGCGATCGTATAATAGGACTAGCTAATGATTAGCTCAGAGACACGTGTGCTACGTCAGATGCGATAAGCGCATCTTTAAAGACAATTCACGCCGCTCACAGTGTAAATACCATAGTATAACGAGAGAAATTAACTTACTCTTTGATGCACGCACACATGCGATACTTCAATACTGCAGCATCGTGGATGAACTGGCGTTATCATCACATTAGGTCCGTCTTGTGCAATAATAATATTAGCGCTCATACCTCAAACTAAACTGCGTCAGTATCTGCGTCCTTAGCACCGCCTGGGTCCAAACGAAAGGCGAGTGACTTACTGCCTGACTACATAACAACAGCGAATTAACTATTACATACACATAGAACTGTATGAACATATTAATGAATGAATGAACATTAATAACTGGCCCTCTTTTTAGTACAGCCTCCCCCAAATGTGCTTGCAGATTTGCATCTCGGGCCAGTACTCACAGTCAGTCAGGGAGTGAAGGGAGCTTAATCAGTTTGATAACAGGTCTGATGTAGGTTCTTTCTTTGAGCTGGATTTCTGCAGCTCTTACTTTATCATCCGCTCCAGCCATAACAGTTTTCACAGTCCGAATGGGCCAGAGTGCTCTGGGGAATTGTGGATCAGCAATCTTAACTGTAGGATAATCTATGTAGTGGAACTACATAACAATGTGTTACATGGTTTAGGCCCTGTGCATTGTTTCTACCCGGGGGTGGGCGTTGTAGGGGTGTTGAATAGAGACGAGGCTTCGAAGAGCACACAACAAGTGAGTGTGTGTGTTTGTACTCACGCAGTAAACTAGATAATACGACATGGTGTCAGAGTGGGATACTCTTAATAACCTTGCGGAAGACGTTTTGTTTCGAGGGCAAGTGAAGTTTTATTAGTTTGAAGTCGCAAAGTCATGGAACAAGCGGCAGGAGGACAACGCGCTCCAGTTGATGCAGCTGCCGGGGGGAGAGAGCCGCCCGCGCCGAGCCCGTGTGCTACGTTCAGCATCCAGCCACCTGAGCCATTTAACTTCTCCAAACCTACCGAATGGGAAAGATGGATCCGACGGTTCGAACGTTTCCGTCAGGCCAGTAATCTCCATACTTCCACGCAAGCCAATCAAATAAATACACTCATGCACTGCATGGGCGATGAAGCGGACGACATTTTGAAGGGGCTGAATTTGACGAACGAAAACAGTGAGCGATACGACGCAGTGAAGGAGGGTTTTCACGCTTTCTTTGTTGTGAAGAAAAACGTAATATATGAAAGAGCACGTTTCAACATGAGAAAACAAGGAGAAAACGAACCAATCGACTCCTTTGTGACTGCACTGTACATCTTGGCCGAGCACTGCAAATATGGGCCACTGCACAACGAATTAATCAGAGACAGGTTAGTCGTTGGTTTAAATGATTTACGTCTGTCAGAGCGAATGCAGTTAGATAAAGATCTAACGCTGGAAAAGGCCATTGACATGGCGAGACAGACTGAGGCAGTGAAGCAGCAGCAGAGTAACTTGCGTGGTGAATGCTTTAATGCCAAAACGTCTGACTCTGTAGATAGAGTCATAAGTAAAGGCAAGTCATTTCAAAGCAGGCAGAGAGTCAAAAGTGCTCATGGAGCAAAAGACAAATTTAAACAGTCACAATCAAGATGTCACAAGTGTGGAAAAAGCCCATTTCATCCGAAAGCGCACTGCCCTGCAAATACGGTACTCTGTCATGCCTGTGGGAAGAGGAGACATTACCAAAAGGAGTGTGCTTCATCCAGAAAGGTGAATGAGATTCAAGAACAAGACCCTGACATATTTTTAGGCACTGTGGTTGCCGGGGGTGACCCCTGGCTGATCAATATTAAAATAAAGGACTGTGAAGTACAGTTCAAAATCGACACAGGTGCTGATGTCACTGTTATGCCAGACCATGTGTTCCATAAGATATTTAAAGAGGGCAACAAACCAGCACTCCAGAGAGTGACCAAGCCTTTACTTGGACCTGGCTGCTCACCACGTAGCGTGATTGGAATTTCAAACATGCTGCTTCTGAAAGGAGACAAGCATATAATGGAGGATGTGTATGTTGTTAAGAGTCTTCATTCGCCACTGCTAGGTAGACCTGCCATCACCAAATTGGGTCTTGTCACACGTGTTGATGGTGTAAGCATTCACACACTACAGGAACACTATCCAAAGCTGTGCAGTGGGCTAGGACTGTTACAGAGGCCTTACACCATTGAACTGAGCCCAGGAGCAGTTCCATTTTCCTTCAAAACTCCACGACGCATCGCTCTTCCACTCATACCAAAAGTAAAAAATGAACTACAACGCATGGAGCGGATGGGGGTCATAAGCAGGGTGGATGAACCCACAGAGTGGTGTGCAGGCATTGTCCTGGTGCCCTAAAAGTCTGGTGATCCACGCATTTGTGTTGACTTAACAAAGCTCAACGAATCAGTGCGAAGGGAGAAATTCATACTTCCTTCAGTTGAACAGACTCTTGGGTTGTTAGCGGGAGCTTGTGTTTTTAGCAAGCTAGATGCAAACATGGGATTTTGGCAAATACCTCTAGCAGAAAAGTCTGCCAAGCTGGCGACTTTTATCACACCGTTTGGGCGATATTTCTTCAATCGTTTGCCCTTCGGAATAGCATCGGCACCTGAGCACTTCCAAAATCGTATGGTAACTGAAGTCACGGAGGGCCTGGGCGGTGTGGTCTGTCACATGGACGACGTGCTGGTGTGGGGGCGTTCTCAAGAGGAGCATGATGTGTGCCTTCACGCAGTGCTCCAAAAGATGGAAAATGCTGGTGTCACCCTTAACAAATGTGCCTTGTCGCAGCGTGTAGTCAAGTTTCTCGGCCACATTATCTCAGACAGAGGAGTATAACCAGACCCAGCCAAGACCGCAGCGGTCCAGGAGATGCCAGAGCCAACAAATGTCAGTGAGCTTGGTATGGTCAACCAGCTGGGAAAATTCATTCTCCATCTGGCGGAAAAAGATAAACCACTCAGAGATCTCCTGTCCAAGAAAAATTGTTGGTTCTGGGGGGAAGAACAAGTTAAAGCTTTTAAGAACTTGAAAGGAGACTTGTCATCTGCTCCAGTGCTGGCCCTGTACGATGCAAACAAGCAACTCAAAGTATCTGCAGACGCATCATCGTATGGAGTGGGAGCAGTCCTGCTGCAAAAAGAGGGTGTCGATTGGAGACCTGTTGCCTACGCGTCACGGTCTCTTACAAATCGGCCAAATCGGCTCAAACCGGTCACCTTTAAAAAGAAAATGAAGCAATGAGACCTAAATAATTCTTTATTTGCATTCATTAAGTTGAATAACTAAATGTCAAAAGGTGTGTAATATCTCTTACCCTGTTCTTCATTGACAACATATTCCCCCAAAAAGCCTCAATGTTGAAATTGGCTGGGTCTTGGGGCATGGGGATGTCCATCAATTGATACTCTAGGAACTCTTCGGTGATCTGATCATGCTCTTGGGGTCCCTGATAAGGAAGCAGTTCGGCAAACCTATCAAAAGAACACAATGTGCACTGTTTAAGATGACGTGGAAGAAACAACTGGATTTGTTTTCTGAACAACATCAAACTTCACAATTTATTAAAAATGTTAAGAAAATGTAGTATTGGAAATAAGGAATAGTAAATAAGTAAACCCATACCTGTCGACAAAGTACAAGGCATCTTCAACACTGTACTCGGTCCTTTGCTGGACATCAACAAATTTTGAGTGCTTGAGTAGGGCCTCTCTCAGGGGTAGTTTGTCCAGTGCATATTCCACTGCTCTCACCAGAAAAGCCTGTGCTGCCTGTTGGAATCTCTGCACCTGTTGAGGTGTTAAATCTCCTGCATCAAGGAGCCGATTAAGCATAGCTTGCGTTGTGAATCCAACATTCAGCTTTTCTCCTACCAAAGAGATAAAGCAGTTCTAATTAATAGTTAATAAGAGTAATATTTTTCTGTCTTTTTTTTTAGTGAGTTTATTAACAACTAAGAATAACCACAGTTGCTAGCTTGAATATCCCACTTTATTATAAGTAAATCACATCACATCAGTGACATCACTAAACTCATAACTGAATAAAAAGGTCTTCTTATAAAAGTATCTGTGTTCAGGGAGTGAGTGTATGTGTATCTGCTTATGTGAAACTTGGGAGCATTACCTGGCGGTTGGCTTGCTGGGTCCTTGTAGTGGATGTCATCCAGTTCTCGATACTGTAGTGCTGCTGGCTTTAGAAACCTTGCGCACAACTTGCGAACAAACTTTGTCATCTACAAATATGTATTTCAGAAAGGATTTTCCATACCATTTGAAAAGACATATCTAAAACAAATGTCAAATCTAACATTATTAGCAGAATCAGGGGTTAACCTTCCATTTTACCTCTACATGTAGAAGAAAGATGGATGACCTCTCTCTCTGGAGGAGGAGGTTCAAGGTTGAGAAGGCTGGCAATGTTGCTTGATAAAAAAGGAGGTACACTTCCGTAAGTGAGTTGGAAAATGCATCCACCAGCCTTCGGAAGCTTGGTTGTTTCTCATCTGTGAATAAAAAAGTACAGGTTATGCACAGTACAGACATTTATGTTTCTTTTTTTTTTTGCAATAATCTTCCAATAGTGTAATGAAATATTCAGCCTACCTAAGGACTTGAAGTAGCTAGTGAGTGGCTCATACCGCTGCAGAATGCGATTCACACAGCTCTCCAGGCTCAACCATCGAACGGAAACATGCTGTAGCATTTCCATATAGTCACTTTCGTGGAGGTCACAAAATTCTGTGATGAAAATATATAATCCATAATATCAATTCAAAGAAAATCTTCTGCATTTCCATTGTACTACTCAGGTGCATGTTAGGTAACAAACCTGACCAATATCCAACATCCAGAGCCCAGGTGCTCGTTGTGTTTTAAGCCCCCAACGGATCCTTCGAGGCAGCGCTGCATGGAAGGCGCTCCCCGCCCCCTACCGTGTTTCAGCCAATCGCAACAATGGTGCTCGCATTCAACTTTGAGAACCAACGAGCGATCGATCTTGACTCCACTCAACTTGGTACGGTAAGTTGCATAGAGCAATATTCTAAGATCTGAATTCATAATGAAATGTTTTATTATAAAAAAAAAGACTATGCTTGGAAATATAGCCAACACTAGCTGCTAGGGATTTTCTTTGCCGCCGGCCGGACACGCTCAGCTATCTAGCTAACTGTAAACAGATTGGCAATGGTAGATTTTGCAGCAATTGGCTGAAACGCGGCAGGGGGCGGGGAGCGCCTTCCATGCAGCTCTGCCTTGAAGGATCCGTTGGGGGCTTAAAACACAACGAGCACCTGGGCTCTGGATGTTGGATATTGGTCAGGTTTGTTACCTAACATGCACCTGAGTAGCCACTCGGGTCCTCTGGATCAAATCCAGTTACCTGCAATACAGGACAAATTAATCACATTCCAATTAGTTACATATTCATTACAATCTAGCACAGCAAACTATTTTACATGGCATTAAACAGCTACTGTAGGTCATGGAAAGCAGACATTATCAAACTTACATACAAAAACCTCTGCCCAGCATTTTTGGCCGTGTTGTGGATGATGTGGCAGGGGCACCCATGAATGTAAATGTTTCCATTTTCATTGAGTGCTCTTGATGAAATAGAATTTTTTGCTCCCGTGTTAACAGGTGCATTGTCAATGGACAGACTTACACAGTTACCCCACGTAATAGCATTTTTCTGCAAGACCTCATTCATCTTTTGAAAGATTACTTCAGCTGTGCCACAGCTACGGCCACTGGTGGTGCACATATCTAGAAACCTATGGACAACCTTGTTAGTGTCACTGTCATATATCCGCACAATGAGTGGATTCATTTTATCTCGACCTGCAAAGACAAGATGCATGTTTTACATAATTAAAGTCACACATCTGTATGAAATTAAGTGTGTGTGTGTGTGTGTGTTCTAGGAATGGGTGCCAGAAAATATTTAAAACAAACAAATATACTGTTTACAATAGTTGTCAAAGTTATACCTGTATCGTTTGACCCATCTGTGATCAATGTAAAAGGTTTTTCCCTCTTTTTCATCACCAATTTATTTCTAAAATATGGTACCACTGCTCCATTGATAATGCACGCTGTTTTAGTGCTCACACACTTAAAATCTTGTGCTGTGGTTGAATCTTTAAAGCACTCCTTTAACAAAGGGCTGAAATGGTCTGCTACAGCAAATGGCACATTGTGTTGGACCATTGCAACAGCCACCTTTACCTCAGCTCTCCTTGTCTGCAACAGAAAGCAGAAAAGGTTATATAAAGCACTAAATCAAGCATTCCATGCAACATAAGTGTTTTTATAATTGTTAATACAACCTACAATGTTAACAAAATTCAGCAAACATTACTGCCAGTATTTTGGTTTTCATATGTACCATGTACCTTGCTCTCTTGTTCTGTTATGCCACCAACTTTGCAATCCCACTTGCTGACTGAAGTGCCTGTTCTTTGGACTGATGCCCTTTGCTTTTAACATGCCTGTTGACATCAGTCACACCTTGATGGGCACATGAATTTTCCTCTCTGCAAACAGAGCACCAGTAATAGGAGCTGCAAGTGCCTTTGGTGATAAATGGCCATTTGGTTGTCCACTCATTTTTGAATGTACACCTATAAGTGGCTGCTCCACAAGCTTTTCTCTTCCCTGTCCTGTCCACTGACTCTTCCACTGTCTCCTGTGTGCTCTCTTCCACTGTCTCTCCTACTGTCTCACTTGGTTTCTTCTCCACTGTCTCTGCCACCACCTCTTCCACTGTGTCCTCCTCTAATCTGGCAACCTTTTTAGGGGCCTTACCCTTTGGTGCCCAAAATGATAAAATATTTTTTTTGCTTTTTCCCTGACATCTTTGAAAAATACAAATGCAATGGCAATGATTAATGTATGTTTTGACAGGATATACAATATTACCCAGAGCACTCTGCTTTAATACATGTAACCTTAATGGAACTATAAACACTATTAATACAGTATAATATATAATTTAAAATAAAATGAAGAAATACATCTTCATTCCTTCCCATACCCACTAACATTTTCCTTAGTTTCAGATAACGTAAGCTAGCCAAACTGAGCCAAAGCTTCTGGCCTGGTTGCAAAGTAGTTGTAGAGTTTTTGACTGCATCAATAATAATGTATATGATGGGCTATATATTAAATGTTCTAGCCTAAAAATGTTAGACGAGCTTTCTTCCAACTTACCTTCTCCATCACGATGTGTGTTCATGCGATGTTGTTGGCTACCTAGTAACGAACGTACGGAACGTACGGAAACGTAAAGGAAACTTCACTTTGTGTGCCTGCACCTCGTATAAAACGTTATATATAAAGCTTGCAGGACAACTTGGTTCGCATTGCCTTTTCAGCGTGAGAAATACACGGTGTGGCGTGTGAGCATGTGAACTGGTTGAATTGCGTGTGTCTCACGGCCAATGCGTGAGACTTGAGAACCCTGCTTAAGCTCACGATCTCCACCTTTGAAATTGGTACCTTGATCAGAGCGCAACTCATGAGGTTTCCCCTACAGGCGATGAAGCGACGTAGAGACATGAGGAAAGAGTCTGTGTCGGCTTGAGAGAGAAGGTCAATGTACACTGCCTTTGTGGTCAAACATTTATAAATGATACCCCAGCAAAACTCATTCCGATGGTCAATTTTGATGGTAAATGGGCCGAAACAGTCCATGCCTGTGGAGTGTCTTAAACTAGAAGGGGGAGAGAGTCTTAAACTAGAAGGGGGTAAGTCAGCCATTTTAGGGATATTGGGCTTGCCACGCCACCTTTGACACTCACACAGTGATGCTGAATTGATCGAACAGCTTGACGACCTCTCAAGATCCAAAAGCGTCTTCTGATTTTTGCTGTGCATCGTACTGCTGAATTAGTAGCTTAGTCACTGGATGGACTGGGTCTAATTCAATTGGGTGAAGAATGTCAGGGCTCAGCAGGAATCGTCCTTCGGACGTCTTTAGACGACTGTTTGGGGAGATGAGTTTCCCTGCTTGAAGCGGAGCATATTTGTCAGGAAAACTCTCTATTTGAGGCTTTTGGATGACTCTGAGCTCAGCTTTCTTATACGTGTCGGCATTGACACTGTCTGTGGGACTGGCCGTCCCATGAAGGGATCTGGCTGTTGCGTCTACAAGCTCTTGAAAGTTATCATATTGAGATGCATTGACTGCATGCTGGTCATCGTAAGTTATAAGAAGATGGAAGGATATTGGTTTACACAGTTCCAGGTTGGGCAATTTGGGCCAAGACGATGAAGGCTTCTGAAGAAATTATGTGCCATTCTTCCAGCGGGTAGGTTTGGCTAGCTGAGCCAGTGACAGGCCACGAGTAATGTCGTCAGCATGGTTGTCTTGTGAGTGCACATAGGACCTTGATTAGTTTGCACAATCAACCTCCCACATAGGTTGATTGTGAACCAGTTAGCTCTTGAATCTCAGCAACTCTAGTTGCTACAAAGACTTAGAAGTGACATGAGTCTGATTGAAACCAGTTGAGGACGGTTGTAGAATCAGTCCAGTATTTGAAACTGCTGATTTCTAATATGAGCTCTCTTTTCAGAACTGCTGCCAGTTGTGCTCCAGTTAGAGAAGTGCATAGCTCAAGTCAGGGAATTGTTTGCTGCTTCTTTGCAGCTACTCGTGATCTAGCTGCCAAGAATGACACCTCTATTTGTCCTTTGTCATCTTCAGTGCAGAGATAGGCTATGGCACCTTATGCTCGCTCTATGTGTGCACACTTCTTGAGCTGGACATGGGATCTGCCTTTGTAGTGAAGCTTCTGGGCAGTGTGACACTGGAAAGTTGTGGAAGCCCGACTTCCCATGTAAGCCATGCATTTCTGAGGTGTGTGTAGCAGTTCAGGGTCATCCCATTCTCTTTTTTTGATAATCTTAGCTCTAGTGGTAAATGGGGTGATGAATCCCAATAGATTATACTGACTGGAAAGGATGCTATATGTGTCGCATAGTGGGCTCAGTTTTTACGACATGGCCATGTTTGTAACCAAGTGTGTCAGATCTGCACTGCCACCTAAGTCTCAGAGTCTTGAACAGTCACATAGCTGTGTGCCATTCCTGAAACATAGTACATACCTGTCATTTCCAAGGTGTTTGATTTTTCATTTTACCATGGTCATATACAGAGTCTCATATGAATGTTAAGGCATAAAACATAAAACATCCTCGTGTACAAGTATATAAATTTAGCATTAGG